TCCCCCCTGTGACCCCATGTCCTGCTGTGCCCCCCGTGTCCCTGTCCCCCCTGTGACCCCATGTCCTGCTGTGCCCCCCGTGCCCCGTCCCCTTGTCCCCGGTGCCGGCTCTGAGTGTGTCCCCCCACAGGGAGGGGGAGGCCTGGTGGGGGTCGCGGCGGGTCCTGGCCCGGGGGCTGCTGCAGCCGGGGGCGGCCGAGGCCTTCGCTGGCCCGGTGGCAGCGGCGGTGGCCGAGCTGGTGACGCGGCTGCGGCGGCTGCGGCGATGCCACCCTGGGGGGGTCGTGTCCGACATCGGCACCGAGTTCAACCGCTTCGGCCTCGAGGGTGAGGGGCGACCCTAAAGGGCAGGGATGCTCCCTCAGGGCTGTCCCATGTCCCCCATGTCCCACCCGTGTGCCCTGGGTCCCACCTGTGTCCCCTGTGTCCCCCGTCTCTGTCCTCCACCCGTGTCACTGTGTCCCCATCCCCCGCCGTATCACTGTCCTCCCTGTTCTTGTCCCTCCCCGTGTTCTGGCATCCCCCATGTCCTCGGCCCCGCTTCTGTCCCCTCTCCCCCCTTCCCGAGTGTCCCCTCCGTGCCCTGTCCCCTGTGTCCCTGTCCCCCACCCGGGTCTCTGTCCCTCTGTCCCCCACCTGTGTCCCTGTGTCTGCCCAAAGGGTCCCTCATGTCCCTCTCTAAGGCCTGGACCCCCCCGAGGCTGGAACCTCCCCCTACAGGGACCCTCCCTGTCCCCCCAAGGGACTCACCAAGTCCCCAGGTCCCCCATGTCCCCCAGTGTCCCCAGGGACTCTTAGGTTCCCCATCCCATTGTCCCTGCGTCCCCGGGGTCTTCCATGGTCCCCAGGGTGCCCCAAGTCCCAGTGTCCCCCCCCATTCCCATCATCTCCGTGTCCCCCTGTCCCCAGTGTCTCCCCATATTTCCATCGTCCCCATGTCCCCCCCGTCCCCAGGGTCCCCCATATTCCCAGGGTCCCCCCATGTTCCCAGGGTCTCCCATGGTCCCCAGGGTGCCCCATATCACCCGTGTGCCCCTGCCCCCAGTGTCCCCATGTCCCCAATGTCCCCGTGTCCCCCCAGCCATCTCCTGGGTGCTGTTCTCCTCCCGTCTGGGCTGCCTGGAGGACAACGGGGACCCCGAGGCCACTGAGGGTGTGATCCGGTGTGTGGGGGCGGTGCTGGCACTGACCCTGGTGACGATGGCACTGCCCAGGCCCCTCCTGCGCCTCGTCCCCGCGCCCTGGGACGCCTTCTGCCGAGCATGGGACCAGCTCTTCGCCTTCAGTGAGGGGACAGGGGACACTGCAGGGACACGGGGACATTCTCTGGGGACACGGGCACATTCTCTGGGGACACAGGGACACCCACTGGGGACATGGGGACATCCCTTGGGGACATGGGGACACCCACTGTGGACATGGGGACATCCCCTGGGGACACGGGGACATCCCCTGGGGACACAGAGACATCCTGTGGGGACCCATGACCATGGTGACAGTGCCACGGTGTCGTCCCCCCAGCCAAGGGATACGTGGACAGGACGTGGTGGTGACACTGAGGGGGTGTTGTTGTCCCATGGCCACAGTGACACTGAGGGGGTGTTGTTGTCCCGTGGCCATGGTGACGCTCACAGGGGGTTGTTGTCCCCAGCCAAGGCACACGTGGACCGTCGCGTGGCCGCGGTGGCAGCGCGGGGGCCGCTGGCCCAGGGGGACACCTGTGTCACCGACCTGCTGGCCCGGGAGCGGCTCCCCATGAGCAGCATCTACGGGAACGTCACCGAGCTGCTGCTGGCGGGGGTGGACACGGTGAGGGGGGACACCGGGGCGTCCCCGTGGTCCCCGTGGGGCTGCCGATGTCCCCGTGTCACCCGTGTGCCCGTGTCCCCAGGTGGCCAGCACGCTGGCCTGGAGCCTGTACGAGCTGGCCCGGCACCCGGGGGCACAGGCGGCCCTGCACCGAGAGCTGGTGGCCGCCACTGCCACCAACGGTGTCACCAACGGTGTCACCGGCAGTGACGGGGCCGGCGCCGGTGCCACCGCGGCCGCGCTGCGACGGCTGCCACTGCTGAGGGCGGTGGTGAAGGAGACACTGAGGTGACAGGGACAGGGGACAGGGGTGGGGACACGGGGATGAGGATGGGGGTTAAAATGGGGACACGGGGATGGGGGTGGGGACAGGGACACAGGGATGGGGACATGGGGGTGGGGGTTAAAATGGGGATAAGGAGGGGGATGGGAACGATGCTGAGAATGGGGGGGATCAGGATGAGGGGGAGGATGAGGATGGAGTCGAGGGTGGGGATGGGGACAAGGAAGGGATGACGATGGGGACAGGAGAGTCAGGACTGAGGACGAGGACAGGGAGGTGACACCCCCGTGCCCCCCAGGCTGTACCCCGTCATCCCGGCCAACGCCCGCGTGGTCCCCGACCGCGACATCCGCGTGGGCGAGTACCTGGTGCCGCGCCAGGTGAGCGGGGGGGACACCCCCCACCCCCCCGGGAGGTCCCCAGTGTGTCCCCCTGACCCCAGTGTCCCCCCAGACCCTCATCACCCTCTGCCACTACGCCACGTCCCGCGACAGCCGCTTCTTCCCGGCGCCCGACACCTTCCGCCCGGAGCGCTGGCTGCGCCACCGGGACCCCGGGGACGGCTTTGGGGACACCCCGGGGGACCCCAGTGACACCCCCGGTGCCGCCCCCGGCCCCGGGCACCCCTTTGCCTCGCTGCCCTTTGGCCTCGGCCCCCGGAGCTGCGTCGGGCGCCGCTTGGCCGAGCTGCAGCTGCACATGGCGCTGGCACAGGTGGGTGTCCCCCGCTGCCCCCGTGTCCCCTGGGGTGCCCGTGTCCCCTCCCGTGTCCCTCACCTGTCCCTACCCCCCAGATCCTGCTGCAGTTTGAGGTGCGTCCAGAGCCCGGGGGGGGCCGTGTGACCCCCATGACCAGAACCCTGCTGGCCCCCGGCACCCCCATCGGGCTGCGCTTCCTCGAGCGGTGACACGGGGACACCGAGGACACTGGGAACAGCAGGGACACCAGGGACACCGGGATGTTGTGGACACCGAGGACCCCAGGGCCATCAGGGACTCTGTGACATTGAGAACACCGGGGACACTGAGGATGTTGGGGACAGTGGGGAGGCCTCGACCCCGGTGGTGACCTCACCAGCCCCCAGTGGTGGCCTCAACCTCGGCGGCGACCCCTCCCCGCGTGGCGTCCCCAATGCCATCGTGTCCCCCATCCCAGGGGGTCCCTGACCCTGGTGGTGACCCCGGCCCTGCAGTGGCCTTGACCCCCCAGTGACAGTGACTGTGGCACAGCCCCGACCCTGGGGGGTGGCCTTGACCCCAGTGGTGGCCCCCCCCGACCCCCCGGTGGCCTCAATGACCCCGATGGTGGCCTTGACCACAGCTGTGTCCCTGCCCCTGTGGTGGCCTCAGTGACCCCGATGGTGGCCCCCCCAACCCCGTGGCGACCCCAGCACTGCTGGTGACCGTCCCCTCCCCCCTTTCTCCCCCCCCCTCCCCCGGTGATTCCGGGTTTATTTATTGGCCAATAAAGTGATTTTGGTACCTCTGGAGCTCCTGCCCCTCCCCCCCGTGACTCAACCCCCCCGTGACCCCCCCGGGTGGGGGGGACCCGCCCCAACCTGCCCAGGTTTGCCCAAGGGGGGCGTGGCCTCACGGGGGGGGGGAGGGAGAGGAGACGCGGGGGGGGGAGTGTTGGAGCCCCACCCGGTGTCCCCGGGGGGGAGCCCAGGAGGGGTGAGGGGTGTCCGGGGGGGGTTAACTCGGTCGGTGCCACCCCGGGGGGGGGTCAATGTCCCAGCTGGGAGGGTCTGACGTCAGCACGGGGACTCTGGACCCTCGTGGGGACCCTGGGGCGGTGGAGCGCGGTGACCGCCCCTCCCCCCCCAGGGCACCCGCGAGACATCCCTCAGGGGGACCCCCCCCAGGTGACACAGGTGGGCAGGGAGGGGAGGGGGAGGGACAAGGGGAGGTCAGGAGGAGGATTGGGCTCATCTGGGCACCCCTGGGCTCACCTGGGCACAACTGGGCACCCCTGGACTGATCGGGGCACCCCCGGGCACCCCTGCACTCACCTGGGCTCACCTGGGCACAGCTGGGCACCCCTGGACTGATCTGAGCACCCCTGGGCTCACCTGGGCACAGCTGGGCACCCCTGGACTGATCGGGGCACCCCCGGGAACCCCTGCACTCACCTGGGCTCACCTGGGCACAGCTGGGCACCCCTGGACTGATCGGGGCACCCCCGGGAACCCCT